CTTAATATATATATATATATATATATATATATATATATATATATATAGACACACACACACACTTGATGAGTAGTATTTCGAGCCAAAACAAGCCGAATGCGAACGAACACATCTTAGTTCGTGTTCGGCTAGTTAACTTATCGAACAAAATTAACGAGCCGAACACGAGCTGTTTGCGAACAACGAGCCTTTTTGGCAGCCCTAGGCAGAGCGAGTCATTTTGGCATGCCTAACTCTCTATCTCTTTCTCACTCACCACGCGGAAAATTTCATGAACAATCCAAATTTCTAATTCGGAGCTGAAACACCACGCAGCAGAAAACTCAATTATTTTTTTGGCGCATTTACAAAAAAAAAACAAATCATTCATATATATTTACATATCTAGCACCTAAATTATCATATTTATAATTATACCACTCAATTTTTTTAGCTTCACAATAAAAACATTCCTATTTTTTAATTTTTAAAAGTAAAATACACATTTTTTATGCATAGAAGTTTAGTATTAAATGACTATAAATGTTAATATCAATGTTCCTGCAGTAGATGCATAAACATGTAAAATTGTTAAAGTACTATAAATGTAAATATCAATGGTCCGGTATTTTTGTAATTTTTTCTCATTTCTTATGCTTTCAAATTCTACATTAAAATAAAAAGTTGAATTTAATTGATAAGCTAAAATTAATGAATCTTTTAAATTTTTTTCGTTACTAAATTGAGAAGCCCTTGCATCGTGATTTCGGTGGGGCCCACCGCATGGATCTCTCCATATTGTTTAAGAAAATTTACCTACATATCACACAATTCTTATGTATTTACATAACTAACGTCAAAGTTTTGATATTAATACTTCTAGCACTTTGATGTCATAATTAGTAATAAAAATATTTTTGATATGATATTAAAAATTCAAGTGATGTGTGCAAATAAGAAAATTTGTGTGCTAGATATGCAAATACATAAGAATTGTTTCCTATGTTTCTGAAAGCATTAAAGCCTTTGCATTTTTCCTATTTCTGTAAGCCAAACAATTAGGTAAAGATCTTCTGAAAAAGTTCTAATCAGATTAATTTTGAAATTATAAAATCTTAGTTGTTAGAACTGTAAATGCACAAGATTTGTACACAATAATGCTACTCAAAAACAATTTCATTTCTCTAAAACAATTACAATCTTCTCCTTAAACTATTCATCTCAACTAATTCCAGAACAGAGAAGGAAATGTAGGGATTAAAACAGGGGAAAGACACCAATTTTTCATGAAGTTATTAAATGTTAACCATATCTCATATTGCGCAAAGACCTCCCACAACTTTTTGGAAATGTCAAATTTACAAATCCAGCCCACGAGTGATCTCTTTGGTGTTTCCTTAATGATACAAATGAATCAAGGAAATTGGCGATAACCAAAGAAAAGGTAAACATCCATGAGCTCAGCAGAGCATGGAAGTGAGGGAGCGGAAGACAGTCTCCTCACAGGGGATGGTGAGGCCCATGCCATGGTTGAACCCAAACTCTTCCTCAGCAGCTCGCAGAAGAGACTGGAACTCTGGGTGGGATAAAAGAGAGATCGGAACAATAAATCTGCTCCTATTCTCCCCCACATACACAGCAAAATGACCCTTTGGGACGTCCAGAGGCAAACCTTCCTCTTCTCCCATCCCCTGTTTTTTTCCCAGACTTGAGCATCGTTTCAGTATTTGCTTCAAGGTCGCTGCTTGCGGCAACTTGCTTGTCATCTTCAGAGCCATTGGGTTTGTGTTGGAGAAGAGGTGGTGGTGGTGGAGAGGAAGAGGATGCGGTCGTATTTATGGAGGGGAGGGCGGAGGAATGTGGTGGGGGGAAGAGTTTGAGGACAGGGATGGGTCCCAGAGGGTTAAACGACAAGGTGGTTAATGTGTTGATGGTTTGCTGACTTGTTGGCTTTCGGAGGGGACAAAGCTGGTCCCTTAGGCTGGACTTTTTTTGTTTTATAGATTTTCAAACACTGACAAACGCCGCCCAATACATGTATTTAGATATATAATATCTAAATTTT